GGTAACTACCACGATCAAGACCCTCCCATAGACAGCAAGGTAACTACCACGATCAAGAGCCTCCCATAGACAGCAAGGTAACTACCACGATCAAGAGCCTCCCATAGACAGCAAGGTAACTACCACGATCAAGACCCTCCCATAGACAGCAAGGTAACTACCACGTTCAAGGTCCAGAAAAGTACCAAGATGATTGACAAAGTAGTCCGTGTGACATCAGCAGTTCAACTGTAAAGTTACGAAGCTACGAGAATACTTTTTTGCGCAAAGAAAACAAAAAAATTCCACATTTTCGTCTCTACTGCATTACTTGTGGACGCGTGTTCACGACAGTACTAGTGATCACGCCGGATCTGGGTTGTGAACACAAATGTGGAATAAAGTTTATTCGTAGCTTTGTAACTTTACAGTTGAACCGCTGATGTACAGTTGAACTCATAATGGAATTTTTTCCAGGTGCTTCTGCGCAGCATAGAGATTAAAACATTTAAACTTTTCAGAATGCCGCAAGCGCACCGCGAGTCATGTGACAAGAACCAACCAATCAGAGTCATCCTGCCAAGATGAAGGAACAGCTGATCATAGCTGTACTGGGATAGCCGTTTTTAAATAAATTTAGTAGCAGAGCTACTGCAATGAGTTTTAGTGCTGCAAATCCGTTTATCCTTTGCTGAAACTCCCGAGTCTTCATGGAGAGCGGAGGTCATGGTTGCTTAGCAACGGCAGACGCGAGCGCAAGTGCCCGAACGCTTTGGAAAAAAGCAGAAAGCGGCGCACCTAGCGTTTTCTATGCATTTTTAGGCGCGACGTGAACACGGCCCCTTATACTGGCTTTTTATGCGTTGCGTTGCATCGTGCCGCGTAAACATAAAACCATGTCTGCATTTGTGATCGGAGAAATGACAAACAACAAGTGCTACTCTACACTGCTCAAAACTCGCTTTAAATATATAAAATATAAAAACTCTTTAAATATAAAAGACGTACGATGTGAAGCGAAAGTCAAAGAGAGAAGATGCGGTACAGCTGAATCACCACTGTTTTCATCTGATGGTTTGAGTGGATTTATTTACTCATCTAACCTACAGTCGAACGCTGCGGGAATGAGTAATGCGATGTATGCGCAATCCCGCAACGAAATTCAGGATCTGATTAAACATAATTCTATTATACAGAGACTTGTGAAATAGATTTCCATGACTTTTCAAAAACTGAGTTTATTTATTTTTACAAAACTTTCTAGGCCTGGAAATTGCTGTTCAATGACTTTTCCAGGTTTTTCATGACTGTACGAACCCTAATGTGATGATCGGGTGCGGTTATCTAAATCAGACAAAAATACAGGTGGGGGCGGTTGGCGGGTGGATCATTTATTTGAAGCTGCGGATTCGGGTGACGTTTTAGCTCATCCGCGCATCACTAATGTGTAGGGATGGGTACCGGGAACCGGTATTTTTTTTTGGACCGGTATGTAATTGGGTCAATACCGGACTACCGATAAGCTTCAGGACAGACGATACTGTTATCGATACTTGTGTTGTTTTATCTCCGCTGTTCTAACATGTGCTAATTCAGAGCGCGTTCACCCAAAGCATCCGTACACTAAAAGGCCGGTCAAACAGCATCTGATTACTTGGTTATCTTCGTTATCATCACACAGAAAAACACACAGGGTTTACATATAAACACAGTTAATTATGTCTAAAGTGAAAGTAAACAGTTGAGAGAAAAACGGATGCGTGCAGCTCTTAAAGGGACAGTACAATACAAACATGCTGCCGCTTGTCATTAAAGGGATAGTTCTCCCAAAAATGTAAATTCTGTCATTATTTACTCAGTAATGTTGTACCAAACATGTATTACTTTTTATTTATTCTTGTGCTGAACACAAAAGATGATATTTTGAAGAATGTGGGTAACCAAACAGTTGCTGGTCCCCGCTGACTTTAATAGTAGGGGAAAAAATATATGAAAGTCACTGGGGACCAGCAACTGTTTAGTTTCCCACATTCTTCAAAATAGCTTTTTATGTTCAACAGCAGAAAGAAACTCATTCAGGTTTAAAACAACTTGAGAGTGAGTAAATGATGACACGATTTTCATTTTTGGGTGAACTATTCCTTTAATGTTAATAAAATAAAACACAGAGGAAAATAGCTCGCTGCTCTTGACTGAAGAACTTTAATACAGCTGCTAAAGTTCAGCAGTAATAAAATAACTTGACATTTTCAACAACTTTTCACTTCATATCTTTTTGCACCAAATAGTATCGATAACAGTATCGGTATCGATAAAATGTAAAAAATATAATCCGCTAAAAATCACCCAAATCACCTTTAACCTGTGTTATTAGAGACTAATCATTTTCTTAATCCTGTTTTGATGTGACAGGACGAGCAAAAAGAGCTAGATGAGATCCTAGCCAAGAGACAGAAGCGAGGCAAGAATGAAGAAGAGGCTCCAGCGGAGGAGAAGACCGTCCTGCACGGTACGACACACAACCACAACCACAAACGTGCAGCTAAACGAGTCTTCAATCTGCTGTTAAACCGCTTTATCTCCCTCTTTACAGTTAAAGAAGCGTACGATTATCAGGGCCGCTCGTACCTGCACGTTCCTCAGGACGTGGGCATCAACCTGCGCTCAGCGGACGTCCCGGAGAAATGCTACCTGCCCAAGAAACAGCTGCACGTCTGGACCGGACACACCAAGGTAGGGATTTTTAGTTTTTCTGGATTCTGTTTTAATGGTCGAGTCAGGATCGTCGTCTTCATCTTCGCGACACGGACTCAGAAAACACAAATTTATTAATAAATAATTAAAATATCTCCTTACTATTTCCCCCCCGACACATTCATGGTAATTACTAGAGGTAGTTGATTGCTGCAACTATCGGTTATCGTCAGAAATCCATGCCGATAGTTTTCCGGGTTGCGTCCATTGCTGGAGCGGCTGAGAAGGGTCTGCTGTCATTATACAGTGCGAGAGCGGCCTCTAGTGGTTGAAATCACTGACCGCACGTGCTATTTGTTTAGACAAGTGATACCGCACGCTGAACAGAGCGGGAAACTTCAGATGCGGATTTAAATGCAGCCGACAGAAAATCCTGCCACGCCATTCACATTTAAATTTACATGACTTTAAATTACATTATATTGGTCCCGAATCGTTGTTTATGTACATAATGAATTGTGTATTGTGCATTTTCAGCAAAACGTTTGTCTTTCTGTGGCTCTAATAAAGTCTGTGTGCTTCATTTATAGAGCTATAATTTAGGTCGCGCTTTCTCTTTCCGTTTGCTCCGTGTTTTTTTAAACGCCGAACTTCAAACTCATCTATGCCTCATTGTTACAATATCCATATGTATATAATTTTAATGCTATTGTAACGCCATCTTCAAGCACGACAGTTAAAATGAAATGGTAACACTTTAAAATAAGAGTCCATTTGTAGCATTAAGATTAATGAAAGCCGTGTAAGTATGGTTCCTTATTAGAGTGTGTTAATTTCAACACATACTATTACTACTATTATTATTATTATTTTTACTATTGCTACTAGTATGGTTCAGTACTGTTTTTGTTAATAAAGCATTATTTTAGTTTTTGTTCAGTATCAATTTTAAAATAATCGGTTAATTAATCGGTATCGGCCAGTGTGGTCCAACCTAGCTATCGTTATCGGCAAAATCCACTATCGGTCGACCTCTAGTAATTACTTTTGCTGGGGCTTTGCAGCATGCTTTAGCAATAGACGTTTTTTGCTGTCATGTGCAATGTTTGCAGATTCTGCACTGCACATGACCAGTTGACATGCAGCTATTCCCGAAGCATTGGGAACTTTTATTAGGTTAACTCCCCACGCTCCAACTTCTCCCTGATGCTCTGCATGGTCAACTGTCACCTATATGCTAATGTGTGCGTATATGCGTTGCGTATTGCATAGGCGATGTATAATATTTATAATATAATCAATATAACAATATTTCATACAGTAGCCTGTGTGCGCTTTGCGCGTATATGGCACAATAAAAGGAGAGAAGCTAAATGAGCCCGAGTCCGACCCCGAGCCCAATCTGTAAAAAAAAAAAAATGCACCGACTACGCCACGTTTTGTACGAGAAACTGCAAAAGACAGGGGCGCAAGTGGAATGCAAAAAACATGGTGACATTCATTTTTAAGTAAATATAATGGGTGATATATTGTCACCAAAAATAATTGAGGTCATGTACATATATTGTGCAATAAGTCGATATGGTCTTGTTTAGGGATCTGTGCCTTTGTGCATACGGAGTAGTGATTGTGTTTTTCAGCAATAGTGTGCACGCTTAATTTACAGAGAAAGAAGGTCTGGGGAAAATCTCCATACAAGTTCTTTCTGCATTTTTCTACTTGTTACTTTGCACTTTTTGTTAGAAAATGTTTATTTACTATTTATTTAGGTTTTTTAAGGTATCTAATATTTTGATACTTAATTTCCGTGATCTAAATATTCTTAAGAATTAAAAGTTTGTTGTCATTTGAAAATGTGGATAGGCCTTCGTGCATTATTATGCTGTTATATTATGATTATATATTCAGTGGCATAATATGGTCTTAAAATGACAGTAATATAGTTTATCGCATTTATTTCTGGGGCAATATATCACACAACAAAAAGTTGTTATCGTCACAGGCCTACTGAGATGTCAGTTTTTTAGTGATTATAAAGGGAGCGCTCTTTGCTCAAACCATGCACGCAGCAGCCTAAGCTTGCTTTGAGATAAAAATAACAGTGGTTTGTGAATGTTGATGATTTAATAAATATTTTATCGGGAGTGTTTATGCTGGGATGTTGTGGAACTTACCATTTCATGTAAATTTCATGGATGTACTGAAAAAAATGTATAGAGGCTGCTTTAATGCGGGCGGGAGCGGGACACTCGTGAATGTTGCGGGCGTCCCGCGCAGGTCTGTGTTTCACTCACGCGTCTCCTGTCTGCAGGGCGTCAGCGCCATCCGGCTGTTCCCGGTGTCTGCTCATCTCCTGCTCTCCTGCTCCATGGACTGTAAGATCAAGGTGAGATCCTCAGCTCAGACACGCCTCTCATGTCCTCACATAAGTTTGCACTTTCAGAGAGTCGCTCTGAATATCTAGCTGACGTCACACCGCAGGACGCTGTTATATAAAACTTCATCCTAAACAATGTTTTTCTAATTCTTGAATAATAATACTTATTACAACAACGGTAATAGTTGTATTAATCTGTATAATAGTCTATTCATCTAATAATAAAATAGTAATAATAATAATGATTATATTACGCAAGCATTTAATAGCCTTTAATAAAAAATATTATTATTATTAGTAGTAGTAGTAGTATTGTAATGTTATTATTCTTAATAATCTATTGATCTAACAGTGGTAATATTATTTTTATTATACTAGAATTTAATACAGTCTGTTAGAATAAAATTAAGTATTAATATGATGCAAAAACAATTATTTAATAGTTTTTAGACTCATATTAACATAATTAATATTAACGTGATATATTAATATAATTGTTATACAAAGATAAGAAAATGTGATCAGTCTGTTACAATAAAACTAATTAATTATTATTGTTATTTTGCAAAAATGCATAATTATATAAAGTGCATTATAATAATATAATATTGATGTGATTAATATGAATATATGAATATAATTATTATACAAAAATACAAGAATTTAAAATAGTCAGTCAAACAATTTAATAGTAATAATAGTTTTACTATGACCGTTTTAAACATTTTTCTAATTGTATAATTTTGGTGTAATAATAATAATAGTAATAATTAGTTTTACTCTGATGGTTTTAAACATTTTTCGAATTCTTGTATAATTTTGGTGTAATAATTATAATAATTATTATTATTATTATTATGCAAGCAGTTTTTAAGACAACATATTAATTTATGAATTTTTATGAAAATTGTTTTACTAATGTATTTGGGCTAATTATTAATTGAGAGACATGATGGAATATTTTAATTTAAAAGAGCTGGTCAGGACTGTTTAAATGAAACACGAAGACCTTAAAATAAACGGTGACCATTTACAGCATCTAAAAGATAATTTTCTTTTATATGTTCATATGCATTTTAACAAATAAAAAGTCCAGCTACTGATATATCTGTGTGCTGATGTGGTTTTGGTCTTCTCTTGTAGTTGTGGGAGGTTTATAATGACAGAAGATGTGTGCGGACGTTTATCGGTGAGTCTTGTGTGGTTTCTATCTCTGCTAGTGGAAGGATCAAACACTTGAGTGATGTGCTTTAATTACTTCGTGATGAGCGTCTCGGCTCGTTTATCCAGCGCCGTCGGGTCCGCAGGAGACACACAGGAGATGAGCTGGATGAGATTCATGAGACGGCAGAGCTCAAGTGTTTAGTTCTGCATCTCAAAAGCTTAATTAAACTGTCATGAGACTCAGATTGAGGACTTGCTTTTCTCGACTCTATGATATGCCTTAAACTTGAACTTTAGTTTTAGTAGAACATCTAGAATATGAACCTGATTAACATAGCAAAAATAAAGTAGCAAATAAACAAATCATAAATAGAATGAATAATAATAATAATTAAGTGTTAGAATAATATAAAAAAATGTAAAAAAAAAAAAAAAATTTCAAAAGGGGACAGAAAGATTTTTTTTTTAGAGATTAATTGCTTTTGCGATTTTGATGTCACACACCGATCGGTCTAAGCAGCGCTGCTTCAAGTCGAGTGCGGGCCATTCACTCACCGTGTCTAAACCGGACGCTACAGTTGTCGAGTTGCACCGCAAGTGCTCTACACTGGACGCGACAAAGCGACCGTTGCAAATCATTTTAACTTTGTGTCAGTACGTCATAAATAGAACAAGGCATCAGTTTAATGTCGGGTTTTGTCACTGATTATAACGGGTCCTACTGTATTTTGCCGCTCGCTTCCGGTGTACACAGCGTCACTGATTATAATGGGTTCTACCGTATTTTGCCGCTCGCGTCCGGTGTACACAGCATCACTGATTATAATGGGTTCTACCGTATTTTGCCGCTCGCGTCCGGTGTACACAGCATCACTGATTATAATGGGTTCTACCGTATTTTGCCGCTCGCGTCCGGTGTACACAGCATCACTGATTATAATGGGTTCTACCGTATTTTGCCGCTCGCGTCCGGTGTACACAGCATCACTGATTATAATGGGTTCTACCGTATTTTGCCGCTCGCGTCCGGTGTACACAGCATCACTGATTATAATGGGTTCTACCGTATTTTGCCGCTCGCGTCCGGTGTACACAGCATCACTGATTATAATGGGTTCTACCGTATTTTGCCGCTCGCGTCCGGTGTACACAGCATCACTGATTATAATGGGTTCTACCGTATTTTGCCGCTCGCGTCCGGTGTACACAGCATCACTGATTATAATGGGTTCTACCGTATTTTGCCGCTCGCGTCCGGTGTACACAGCATCACTGATTATAATGGGTTCTACCGTATTTTGCCGCTCGCGTCCGGTGTACACAGCATCACTGATTATAATGGGTTCTACCGTATTTTGCCGCTCGCGTCCGGTGTACACAGCATCACTGATTATAATGGGTTCTACCGTATTTTGCCGCTCGCGTCCGGTGTACACAGCATCACTGATTATAATGGGTTCTACCGTATTTTGCCGCTCGCGTCCGGTGTACACAGCATCACTGATTATAATGGGTTCTACCGTATTTTGCCGCTCGCGTCCGGTGTACACAGCATCACTGATTATAATGGGTTCTACCGTATTTTGCCGCTCGCGTCCGGTGTACACAGCATCACTGATTATAATGGGTTCTACCGTATTTTGCCGCTCGCGTCCGGTGTACACAGCATCACTGATTATAATGGGTTCTACCGTATTTTGCCGCTCGCGTCCGGTGTACACAGCATCACTGATTATAATGGGTTCTACCGTATTTTGCCGCTCGCGTCCGGTGTACACAGCATCACTGATTATAATGGGTTCTACCGTATTTTGCCGCTCGCGTCCGGTGTACACAGCATCACTGATTATAATGGGTTCTACCGTATTTTGCCGCTCGCGTCCGGTGTACACAGCATCACTGATTATAATGGGTTCTACCGTATTTTGCCGCTCGCGTCCGGTGTACACAGCATCACTGATTATAATGGGTTCTACCGTATTTTGCCGCTCGCGTCCGGTGTACACAGCATCACTGATTATAATGGGTTCTACCGTATTTTGCCGCTCGCGTCCGGTGTACACAGCATCACTGATTATAATGGGTTCTACCGTATTTTGCCGCTCGCGTCCGGTGTACACAGCATCACTGATTATAATGGGTTCTACCGTATTTTGCCGCTCGCGTCCGGTGTACACAGCATCACTGATTATAATGGGTTCTACCGTATTTTGCCGCTCGCGTCCGGTGTACACAGCATCACTGATTATAATGGGTTCTACCGTATTTTGCCGCTCGCGTCCGGTGTACACAGCATCACTGATTATAATGGGTTCTACCGTATTTTGCCGCTCGCGTCCGGTGTACACAGCATCACTGATTATAATGGGTTCTACCGTATTTTGCCGCTCGCGTCCGGTGTACACAGCATCACTGATTATAATGGGTTCTACCGTATTTTGCCGCTCGCGTCCGGTGTACACAGCATCACTGATTATAATGGGTTCTACCGTATTTTGCCGCTCGCGTCCGGTGTACACAGCATCACTGATTATAATGGGTTCTACCGTATTTTGCCGCTCGCGTCCGGTGTACACAGCATCACTGATTATAATGGGTTCTACCGTATTTTGCCGCTCGCGTCCGGTGTACACAGCATCACTGATTATAATGGGTTCTACCGTATTTTGCCGCTCGCGTCCGGTGTACACAGCATCACTGATTATAATGGGTTCTACCGTATTTTGCCGCTCGCGTCCGGTGTACACAGCATCACTGATTATAATGGGTTCTACCGTATTTTGCCGCTCGCGTCCGGTGTACACAGCATCACTGATTATAATGGGTTCTACCGTATTTTGCCGCTCGCGTCCGGTGTACACAGCATCACTGATTATAATGGGTTCTACCGTATTTTGCCGCTCGCGTCCGGTGTACACAGCATCACTGATTATAATGGGTTCTACCGTATTTTGCCGCTCGCGTCCGGTGTACACAGCATCACTGATTATAATGGGTTCTACCGTATTTTGCCGCTCGCGTCCGGTGTACACAGCATCACTGATTATAATGGGTTCTACCGTATTTTGCCGCTCGCGTCCGGTGTACACAGCATCACTGATTATAATGGGTTCTACCGTATTTTGCCGCTCGCGTCCGGTGTACACAGCATCACTGATTATAATGGGTTCTACCGTATTTTGCCGCTCGCGTCCGGTGTACACAGCATCACTGATTATAATGGGTTCTACCGTATTTTGCCGCTCGCGTCCGGTGTACACAGCATCACTGATTATAATGGGTTCTACCGTATTTTGCCGCTCGCGTCCGGTGTACACAGCATCACTGATTATAATGGGTTCTACCGTATTTTGCCGCTCGCGTCCGGTGTACACAGCATCACTGATTATAATGGGTTCTACCGTATTTTGCCGCTCGCGTCCGGTGTACACAGCATCACTGATTATAATGGGTTCTACCGTATTTTGCCGCTCGCGTCCGGTGTACACAGCATCACTGATTATAATGGGTTCTACCGTATTTTGCCGCTCGCGTCCGGTGTACACAGCATCACTGATTATAATGGGTTCTACCGTATTTTGCCGCTCGCGTCCGGTGTACACAGCATCACTGATTATAATGGGTTCTACCGTATTTTGCCGCTCGCGTCCGGTGTACACAGCATCACTGATTATAATGGGTTCTACCGTATTTTGCCGCTCGCGTCCGGTGTACACAGCATCACTGATTATAATGGGTTCTACCGTATTTTGCCGCTCGCGTCCGGTGTACACAGCATCACTGATTATAATGGGTTCTACCGTATTTTGCCGCTCGCGTCCGGTGTACACAGCATCACTGATTATAATGGGTTCTACCGTATTTTGCCGCTCGCGTCCGGTGTACACAGCGTCACTGATTATAATGGCTTCTACTGTATTTTGCCTGATCTGATCTAAAGTTAACAGACAGTGTTTAGTGCAGTGCACATGTTTACTTAGAGTGAAAAATTTAAGGGGGTCTGAATACTTTCCGTACCCACTGTATAGGTCTGGCCAACAGAAAATAACATTTATGTTTAATCTATCTAATAGTGTGTTGGTCATACTATACAATGATTTATAGCTTGTCTTTGTTGAATAATACAGAACTTAAAGAGCTTTAAAAAATTATTGCATATTAAACTGCAATATTGGTTAAAAAAAATTGCAATTAGATTATTTTCCAAAATCATTCAGCCCTAAAATTAATATTTTATTACTTAATACTTAATTAAATTGACACATTAAATTGATCAAAAGTGACAGTAAATACATTTATAACGTTACAAAAGATTTCTATTTCAAATAAACGCTGTTCTTTTGAACTTTGTTCATCTGTGAATCCTGAAAAATAAAATGCATCACGGTTTCCACAAAAATATTAACGTTTTCAACATTGATAATAATCAGAAATGTTTCTTGAGCAGCATATTATGATTTCTGAAGATCACGTGACACTGAAGATTGGAGTAATGCTGCTGAAAATACAGCTTTGATCACAGAAATATATTACAGTTTAACAGATATTCACATAGAAAACAGCTGTTTTAAATCATAATAATATTTCACAATTTTTACTGTATTTTTGATCAAATAAATGCAGACTTAGTAGGCATAAGAGACTTCTTTCCGAAACACTGAGAACATCGTGTGAACATTAGTGTTAATGCGTGTCTGACTGATGTCTGGTGTCTCTGTAGGTCACAGTAAAGCCGTGCGTGACGTTTGCTTCAATAACTCCGGCACACGGTTCCTGAGCGCCGCCTACGACCGATATCTCAAACTCTGGGACTCCGAGACGGGTGAGAGCTTCACACAAACACAGACCAGTCATCCCACTAGTTTCCCAGACCTCTCTAGTTCTAGCGGTTTGTGTTCGTGGTGTGCTGTTGAAGTCTAGCACTAAAGAGTCTCCTCTGCTCGTTCAGGTCAGTGCATCGCCCGCTTCACCAACAGGAAGGTTCCCTACTGCGTCAAGTTCAACCCAGACGAGGACAAACAACAGCTGTTTGTAGCCGGGATGTCCGACAAGAAGATCGTCCAGGTACCGAGCCGAGAGCCAATATTGCATTATTTTTATATAACGTTATTCCCGCTCATGTTTATGATGAGGACGCTCATGCACACTTTATTTCACGCTTCATAAACACCTTACAGGACTGAATACAGCCTAGTGTTACTTTGGGAGCATTGAGATACTTAATATTTTCAATTCGTTGTTATTTTTATATATTAGGTTTTTAATTCCATTTTAAGGTGTAATAATTTAGTTGTGTATTTGTCATTCGGTTTTTTTGTGTCTATATAATTTTAAGTTTTAGTAATTTAGTTGTATATTTTTTGACATTTTAATTCATATTTTTAAATGTCTACGTAAGTTGCGTAAATTTTTTTTATTTTAGTTTTAGTAATTTAGTTGTAGTTTTTGACATTTTAATTCATATTTTTAAATGTCTACATAAGTTGTATTAATTTTTTATTTTAGTTTTAGTAATGTAGTTGTGTATTTTTTGACATTTTAATTCATATTTTTAAATGTCTATATAAGTTTTATTAATTTTATTTTAGTTTTAGTGTCATAGTTGTGTTTTAATGCCTATTTCTTAATGTCTATATATTTGTAAAAAAAAAATATTTCAGTTTTAGTGATTTAGTTTTGAATTTTAATTGTCTTTATCATTTTTATGAACTTAATTCAGTTTAGTATTTTTGCCATTTAAATTAATTTTTTTAAATGTCTATATAATTTAATAATTTTTATTTCAGTTTTAGTAATTTAGTTGTATATTTTGTTGACTTTTTAAAATGTCTACATTTTTATAAATTTTTGTTTTAGTGTTTCAGTTTTGCTTTTTTGTAATTTCAATTCTTTTTTCATTTCTACATAATTTGTATTCAGTTATTTACATTTTATTGATTTAGTTGTGCATTTTTATAATTTTAATTATTTTTAAACATTTGTATAATTAGTTAATTTTTATTTTACTTTATCAATTTAGTGGTGTATTTTTTTTTAAATTCTTTTCATAGTTCTACATAATGTTTTATTCATTTTTATTTCAGTTTTAGTAATTTAGTCGTGCATTTTTCGATTTGAATCATTTTTAATTAATATTTTTATACATTTTTATTCCTGTTTTAGTATGTTAGTAGTCCGTTAAACTAAATGAAAATGAGATTATTATAAGTAAGTACGGTTTTGAGGTTTTATTTCAGGTGACGTTGGGAAAGAGTTTCTTCTTCTGGTTGTCAGTGACTGATGTGACTGTGTTTGTGTGCAGTGGGACATCCGCTCTGGCGAGGTCGTTCAGGAGTACGACAGACACCTCGGCGCCGTCAACACCATCACCTTCGTGGACGAGAACCGGCGCTTCGTCAGCACCTCCGACGACAAGAGCCTGCGCGTCTGGGAGTGGTGAGGAGGCTCTTCATTACTGAAAACCCTTTCAATCCACACAGGGATGCACAAGCAACATCTGTGGAGTTATCACGAAAATAATGTGGTCCTTAAAACAGCCTCACTTTCTTCAAGCAGATGTCGTTGTTAACTTTTTATCTTCTGATTTCAGGTGAAAAGTGATCCGTTCGTTTTAGTTTAACACTGTTGATATTTTTCAACAGGTAAAAAAAAAGGAAAAAGACATTAAATCTACATCAGGGTTATTATAGTTCACTAAATCTACAACTAAAACCATTAAAAACAGTTTTGTTTCTTAATAAATGTTAACTAAAATAAAATACAAAGAAAAACCTTTTTTTTTTCAGCTAATTGCCAAGGCAGCATTTTTCATTTAGTTTAACGTGATATACAAAAATAACTGATATAAAATTAATAAAAACACATATATATATATATTTTTTTTTTTTAAATGAATTTTATATCAGTTGTTTTTGTATAATATAAATATAATTTTGTGTATATATATATTTGATATTAATATTTAAATTAACATTTTTCTTAATAATTTATTCCTGTTATTACAATTCTAAAAATCTTATTGGTCCTTAATTTTATTATTTTATAAATAAATAATATTAAATATTCTATATATCTTTACCAAATTAATTAAAATTGTGAATTTTTTTCTCATATTCATAAAATAAAATTTTTTGTAAAGATGATTATATATATATTTCTTAGCGATTAAACAAATTTTTATTATAATTTATTGTAAATTATACACGTGTGTGTATGTGTGTGTATATATATATATATATAAATATATATAAGTGTATTTGTCGTGTGTATTTTTTGTTATTTAGATAATTGTTTTTACATAAATTTATATATATCTACTTTTTTTTAAATAAATTTAATAAAAAAAATTTATTAAATTATATCAAATCTAAAAAATATATTATGTATTATAAATTGTGTATTTTTTAAATTATTTTGTTTAGATACTTTTTTTTAACAAATATTTTTTTTAAATCTAGAAAGATTATAATTATAATTTATTATAATTTACAGTATAATTTTTATATACAGTGGGTACGGAAAGTATTCAGACCCCCTTAAATTTTTCACTCTTTGTTATATTGCAGCCATTTGCTAAAATCATTTAAGTTAATTTTTTTTCCTCATTAATGTACACACAGCACCCCATATTGACAGAAAAACACAGAATTGTTGACATATATATATATATAAAATAAATAATATATTAATGAAATAAAATAAATTTTCCATGCCAACTGGCATATTTTTTCCAAAAAGCAGTACTATGAATACTTTCATGCTCATTAATACTTTCATAGTTAAACCTCCATCTGTGTGTCTGAATACATGTTCATAACACGCCGAGATGTGCTGACTGCAGTGCAGCTTTTCATGTTTTAAAATGTGATGTATATGTATCTTGTCAGGGATATTCCTGTGGACTTCAAGTACATCGCTGAGCCCAGTATGCACTCGATGCCTGCGGTCACGCTGTCGCCCAACGGTGAGCTTGCTGTACATGTCACGTGACTCTCTATCGCTCGCATGGCTTCCTCTCTGCGATCGATAACTGAGCAGGATCCCTCGTTCTCCTGCGTGTCAGTGTTTCTCTTCTGAGGTGCAGATGAACTCGTGTGAACCCAGACCACAGTCACAGGTCCCCCGAAGATGCTCAAATAATTCCCCAGGAACTAACTAGTTGATTAGAGAGGTTAACTCTTACTTATCTAAGCTTTATTTTGTAGCACAGTTTCTTTAAAGAGCCAGTGTTTACAGTCATTAAAGCAGCAGCTTCGACTAAACAATACTTCAAGACTGTTCAATAACTAAATATTTAATTGATGGTACTTTATTGTTCGTTAGCAACTTAAAATCGAGTCGAAAGTTATTTTTGTCCCCAAGAGTTCATAATGTAAGCTGAAGATATGGATGAAGAAGAGCATTTGGCTTTTTAAGTGTAATTTAACATGTTTATTTTAATATTTCTTCATTTACTGTAGTTATAGTTTTGTTTATTAGGTTTTAAAACATAAATTGAATATTCAATATTTATTAATTTTAACTACATTTTAAAACATGCATTAAGTAGCTTTAAATATCTATTATTTGTCCATTTTTAAAAAATGTTATTTTATTTGCCTTTTATGTTTGAATTATTATTTAATTGATGGATTTTACACAAAGTAAAATTAAGTCAAAATTTTTGTTGTCCAGAAGAGTTTAATGCCTTTTTTTTATTATTTTTTTCGATTAATAATTCTTTGGTTATTTTACATGCAATTTATTTTAATAATTATTAGTTTACTATAATTATGGTTTTATTTATAGTCATTTATAGTTTTATTTACTATAGTTATAACGTTTTAAAGTACAAATTAAATAAACAGTTTTGTTTATTTATTTTTCATTTTAAAGATGTTTTTTATTTTGTTTAATTATTTAAACAAATAGTTTTAAACATGTATATTTTGTCCTTTTAAAAAAAGTGATTTATTGCCTGTTTTATGTTTTTAATTATTATTTAATTTATGGTATTTTATTGTTTTTATTGTACAACTTAAAATTGAGTGGAAAAATAATTTTTGTCCTGAAGAGTCCAATGATATTTATTAAGTCTAATTTCTTAATAATAAAAGCATTTGGGTCTTTAAATGCAATTTAAAATATTTATTAATTTATTTACTATTTAATAATTTACTATGGTTATGGTTTTATTTAATTACATTTTAAAACTTGCATTTTATAAACTGTTTTATATACGTCTTAATTTGTCCATTTAAAACGATTTATTTCCATTTTTATAGTTGAAATTAAATGTCCGTAATTTTATTTTTAAATGTCACTTCTAGTCCTCCGTGCACTAAACCAGTGTAATTATTCAGTGCTTCCTGAAGACAGCCTAGTTTATTATTATTATTACTAGTTTATTTTTAAGATATGCAGCTCCTAACTTGAATGATAAGTGAATGTGAGCTGGAGATCTTGGCATCCTGAGCTGCGCAGTAATAACTTATTTGATTAATTTCAGGAAAGTGGCTGGCCTGTCAGTCCATGGACAATCAGATCCTGATCTTCGGAGCGCAGAACAGATTCCGGCTCAACAAGAAGAAGATCTTCAAGGGTCACATGGTGGCGGGATACGCGTGTCAGGTGGACTTCTCTCCGGACATGAGGTGAATCTCCTCAGACGAGGCAGTAATTAGTGTGATTAGAGCTTTGAGCTGACGCAGCGCTCCTGAATCAAGCAAAGCTGACGGATCTCAGTTCATAAAGAGAGTCACTTGCTTCATTCCTGAATGATTCAGTTGTTCGAATGAATCAATTGAATGAATGATTCAGTGATCAAATCAGTGACTTGCCGCCACCTGCTGGCAATTTGGTTTCATTTTTACCGTATAATTTCAGTTATTTGAATCATAATTGTATATTTAAAACATTAATCTCCACATGAATTTAATTGCACTCATGCCACCTCTGAGCCTCATTAAATGTCTGTAAATGTACCTACAAGCCACTTTGGTGTTCTTCTGTGCCACCTCTGTAGTACAAATTAATTTATTCAAACTAATTTCATATGATTGGTAACTTATTTGTAGGGATGCACGATATTGGATTTTTGCCGATATGCCGATATTTTTCAACGCATTTTGGCCGATAGCCGATACTGATATATTTCCTTTTTTTTTTGGAAAAAACACAGAAATTATAAATCTGTGCAGAAATTATAAGCAAATTATTTTTATAAATGCAATTTAAAATATTTATTAATTTATTTACTATTTAATAATTTACTATGGTTATGGTTTTATTTAATTACATTTTAAAACTTGCATTTTATAAACTGTTTTATATACGTCTTAATTTGTCCATTTAAAACGATTTATTTCCATTTTTATAGTTGAAATTAAATGTCCGTAATTTTATTTTTAAATGTCACTTCTAGTCCTCCGTGCACTAAACCAGTGTAATTATTCAGTGCTTCCTGAAGACAGCCTAGTTTATTATTATTATTACTAGTTTATTTTTAAGATATGCAGCTCCTAACTTGAATGATAAGTGAATGTGAGCTGGAGATCTTGGCATCCTGAGCTGCGCAGTAATAACTTATTTGATTAATTTCAGGAAAGTGGCTGGCCTGTCAGTCCATGGACAATCAGATCCTGATCTTCGGAGCGCAGAACAGATTCCGGCTCAACAAGAAGAAGATCTTCAAGGGTCACATGGTGGCGGGATACGCGTGTCAGGTGGACTTCTCTCCGGACATGAGGTGAATCTCCTCAGACGAGGCAGTAATTAGTGTGATTAGAGCTTTGAGCTGACGCAGCGCTCCTGAATCAAGCAAAGCTGACGGATCTCAGTTCATAAAGAGAGTCACTTGCTTCATTCCTGAATGATTCAGTTGTTCGAATGAATCAATTGAATGAATGATTCAGTGATCAAATCAGTGACTTGCCGCCACCTGCTGGCAATTTGGTTTCATTTTTACCGTATAATTTCAGTTATTTGAATCATAATTGTATATTTAAAACATTAATCTCCACATGAATTTAATTGCACTCATGCCACCTCTGAGCCTCATTAAATGTCTGTAAATGTACCTACAAGCCACTTTGGTGTTCTTCTGTGCCACCTCTGTAGTACAAATTAATTTATTAAAACTAATTTCATATGATTGGTAACTTATTTGTAGGGATGCACGATATTGGATTTTTGACGATATGCCGATATTTTTCAACGCATTTTGGCCGATGGCCGATACTGATATATTTCCTTTTTTTTTTTGGAAAAAACACAAAAATGATAAATCTGTGCAGAAATTATAAGCAAATTATTTTTAATTTTGGTTAGTTTTTAACAACGTGTTTGTTAGAATTAAATGGACAACAATGAAGTTCTTTTATAATGACAGTACATTGAAGATTTGAAAATAAATATAAATAAACTATATTCAATCTGCGTTTTTTTTTTTCTTCAGAAAGATTCGGTGGCAACCTTAACATTTTATTTTAAGATTTAACATTTGTAAATGGTCTAAAGCAAGAGTGGTAAAAATTCTGAAAATCTTTTAGAGCTCATAATTTGTTATGCAAAATATAACATATTACACTTTAATGAATAAATCAGTATATATAAAATTATTTAAGTGACATGTTTTTTTTTTGTTCATGTAAGCTATAGCTTCTGAACTTTAAATCAAAACATACACATGATTGTATGGCATCAATTCCTGCTTTATTTAATCAGAAACACAGCCTAAATATTATATTTGTATTTTGCTTTCATTTAGTTAGAAGTCGGCCAACAGCGCCCCCTACAGAATTAAAACTCCTTACTGAACGGGCATTAGGACCCGGGGGAGCCTGCCGCTGCACGTGCTATTACTGTTGACTCTATCACACACCGAACGTGTCATTCTGTACATGCATTCTCAGTTTAAATGCAGCCATCCAAAACAGTGGATCTAAATATCATTCAGGCAAAACTTTGCTTCAAGAATGAGCCACACTGCTGACATGATGTAATCGCTAGCATACCCTGAGCACATGTGAGTTAATGTATTCCTCTTATCGGCAAGACATATCGGTATGATTTTTCATATTGGGCCGATGCCGATATTTACATTTAAAGCCATTATCGGCCGATTACGATATTGGTCCGATAATATCGTGCATCCCTACTTATTTGTCTTATTCTACTTATTATTATATTGCAAAAACTAATCTTTTGACTGAAGATTTTTCTTCGACCAAACCCCATTCATCCAGTTTAAGAGCAGTGTTTTTCTTCTTGTAATTAGGAGCGCTTGTCCTCCTAATTAAAACATTTAGGAGCACCTTCTGATCAATAATCAAAAATTAGCCTTCCTAATACGAGACTCCTTAAAGTGACTTACAGGAGTATCTTTGTAATGGCATCTTCTTCATCTGTCAAATTCTAAAATTTATGTTTATAATCTTCTTTTAAATTTATATTTAGAACAATATGTAGAATAAGACAAATAAGTTTCCAATCATATGAAATTAGTTTTAATAAATTAATTTGTACTACAGAGGTGGCACAGAAGAACACCAAAGTGGCTTGTAGGTACGTTTCCAGACGTTTAATGAGGCTCAGAGGTGGCATGAGTGCAATTAAATTCATGTGGAGATTAATGTTTTAAATATACAATTATGATTCAAATAATTGAAATTATACGGTAAAAATTCAACTAAATCGCCAGCAGGTGGCGGCAAGACACAGATTTTATCACCGAGTCATTCATTCAAATGATTCGTTCGAACGACTGAATCATTCAGGAATGAAGCAAGTGACTCTCTTTATGAACTGACGGAACTTTAATCCCTGTTTACATCTGAAATATGACAGATGAGGTGGTCTCACTCAGGTCCAGTATGCTCTACAGGACCGGTTTGATACGGCTTAGTTTTACAAAGTGTTAAATATTATTATTTTTTATTAATTTATATATCAAAATGAAAATAAAATAATAATGATTATTATTGTTACTACTAAATAAAATATTAATATTATTTCAAACAAAAAATATTACTATTGTAATAATTCACTGTAAAAATAGTATTTAAGAAATTATATAGTAATAAAATAAATACTTTTGTTTTACAGTACAACTGTAAAATTACAATACTAATATTTATGCTGTCTTTTTTTTAACCATAAACCATCAAGGTTTTTTTTCCCCTTTATTGTATTAATTTTTTTTTGTGGAGCGCATATATTTAATTTAATAATCCTTAAATAATTCTTTAAATAATTTGATAATCACATTAAGCCATCTTGTCATTTTGGTTTTATTTTGATAAATATGAAAATATAATTGTTGTTGTTGTTGTACTACTAAATAAAAACATTACTATTATTTATTTAAAACAAAATAAGAAAAATTAGTTTTGTAATATTTTACTGTAAAATAAAAAATTTAGTATTTTAGAAGAATTGAATAATTTTATAGCACAGTTGTAAAGTTACAGTACTAATTAATGACTGTCTTCATTTTCAAACGTTAAATCATCACACTTTTATTGTTTAAAATATTGAAAATATTGTTTATATCGGCAGAGCATCATAAATATTATATTATACATATGTATTTTTATATTGGTGCATATAAATTATAACGTTTCAGTATCATTTTTACTTGGAAAATATGCCTTGATTTGAACTATTTTTACTGTGTTTTACTTCTTATTTAAACATTTTGGATTTATTTAGTTATAAAGACTTTTAAACCATTTTGAACCATTTCAGAGCAATGCATAAATACGAAGGTATATTTTGAATCCTTAAAAAAATCCTTATTTATTAATATATATTAAATTATTCATAGGTTTGATTATTTATATATATTAATTTATTCATAGGTTATATATAATATAATTTTTATCTGTATTTTTTGTCCCTGTACATGTTCTCCTGTTTAATAGTTTGAAGAATCACTGCATTAAGTGTATTGTTTGACTGCAGTTACGTGGTCTCCGGCGACGCTGACGGGAAGCTGAATATCTGGGACTGGAAGACGACGAAGCTCTATCATCGGATCAAGGCGCATGACAAGGTGTGCATCAGCGCGCTCTGGCATCCTCACGAGACGTCGAAGGTGATCACCTGCGGCTGGGACGGACAGATCAAGCTCTGGGACTGACGCATCCGCTTCCTCGTGTGTTCCTCTCGAGCCCGAGTCTGAGCTTTTAACTCTGATGTGAGATTATAAATGGGCTGGTATCCAGTCCTAAACACACGCACACGCACGCACACACACACACACACACACACACACAGACTTGCAGCTCATGCTTTTTGTTTTATAATGAATGAATCTGTATCTCCAGTGTCTCACATTTGTCTCTTTTTGAGGATAATAAATGTCTCTCGTTTATTTCTGCTGACTTTGTGTTTTGGTGGAATTTTCCCATTCATTTTCAGCATAGACGTTTCTTCAGTGAAGAGAATTAATTACAACATAGCATGTGATTAGAGGCATAAAGAAGGTACTTTAACATCTCTAGTGACGGATTGAACTCCTCAAATTGACTGTAAGACATCGATTAGAGTGTAAAATACTGCATTTTAACTCAATAAGCGCTTCTGAAGTGGCATTTAGGCATCTTTCCACAGATTGTTTAATCCTGCTCAGAGGTGGCATAAATGCATTTACAACGCAATCACGACTGTATATTTTAATACTAAGTGCTGAGTTAGATCAGAGCAGGCATAATTTAGTCTGGCTTTTATCTGGCATTGCATTTTTACACTGAAATTTAAGCAGGCACAGAGCAGCCTTAACTCAGCTGTGTAAAGATAAATCGGGCAGTGGTGTGACTGTGGAACTAATCAACCCGAGGTTTTTCTTTTATGATCGCTGAAGATCTTCATTATTTAAAATCGAAATTTCAAGATAAATAAATGATTAAAAAAACACAAGCTGCCAGGGCCAAATAATGAAAATTAAAATAAATAATAAAAACTATATAGACATTTAAAATGATAAGAAAATGTACTAAATGATAATAAAACAGAACAAAATTAATAAAACTTTAACTAAAATTATTAAACTAAAATTATTAGTTATATTCAATTATATTAAAATTAAACTTTTAAAGACAATATATAAATAAAAGCTTATTCAAAATATGAATAAAAACTGCAGTATCACAATGATACTATAAAATTATTAAAAGTAGTTTTTTTTTATTTAGCTGAAAGAAATTAAAATACAAATATTAGAGAAAAAGTAAAAAAATTGCGTTTTGGCAACTACCTGAAATTAAATAAGTTTGCAGTACTAAAATAAGTTAGTACTTACAAGTTGAAGTACTAAAATGAATAAAACCAAAATAAAAATAAATTAAAGCTAAATAGATCATTTAAAATCAAATGATTTTATTTCTTCAAATGAAAATTGAAAATATAAAAATAAAAACTAATTTAAAATATTAATAAAAACGATTATAGCATCACAATGATAATATTAAAATATTACAAATTGTGTTCATGAATTGAAGCACGGCTGAAATAAAATAAAATATAAATATTAGAAGAAAACTTAACCTTGAATTTGAAGATCTAAAATTAATGAAACTAAATTAAAGATAAATGAGCAATGAAAAATAACACAAACAGCAAAAGCACATGACGATTACGAAATTAAAATGAAAACTGAAAATATAAAAATACTTTTTATCAAGAGTTGAAGGAAATGTAAATTCACGTCTGTACAGTAGAACACAAAGTTCAACACTCTTCAGCAATAAAAAGAAGAAATGTTAGTTTATCTTGTGTGATTTTTGCTTATTAATACACTGTAAAAAATGATTGTGATTTTAACAGTAAAATACTGTAAAAATGCTACAGTAAAAACCTGTTAACCGTAAGTTTCCATACTATATACGGTGAATAAATGTAATTACATTTAATGTAATTTTACTGTAAAATACTGTTAAAAATACGGTTTTTGGAAGTGAAAAAGAAAACGTCATTGTACAATTTACAGCGAAAAACCGTAAATTGACATGACACTTCATATTTGATTTTTTTTTGTTGTTGAAATAACATGTTTCTACTTAGTTTTTTCTTATCAGTTGTGTACATTAGGGTTTAATCTTACACCTAACGTTGTTAAATGAATGTTTATTGCATTATTTCAGTATCATGTGTGTCACGATGATGGGGTTTAGTGTTTGTGTGAAAGACACTGTGTGCACCTTCTATATATATATATACTGTATATACATATATATA